ACAAGTTTCCGAGAAGCGATTAAAGTTGGAGGGTTTGCGGGACCAGTCACTACCGGCAGTCAATCCATCGAAGGCTATGGTCATCGGGTGGCTCAAGGTTCCACGACTAATCGATGAAATCGGCAAACATTGCGCAAACAGTGTTTCCTTGCAATGCGACGCGTCGCGACGCCGTGGCATAACATATAGTTTGACAATCAGGATGACACGGTGAAACGATTCACCAGCTTTCCATCAGGAGGACTTGAGGAGGATAATTTTTTAGGCTGATGCATCGACGAGCAGACATTCTTGCACGATGAATCGACCTGTTTCGAGAATGTCGTAACGTTAGATGCGACTTTTCGAGAATGCAGGGACCCAATATTAACACGTAATTCCAATACCCGTATCGAGGTGGCACGTGATCCTCGGCAGTGGTTGTTGCCCGTCTCTCGTGACCCGGATTCGAAACGCGAATCCTGTCGTAATGGGACGATATCGTGACATAGGATTACCTCAACGGGAATCTACCTCCCACGCGACAACTGCATCCGCCCTTGCTTTGTTCTATTTTTGTGCGTATACCTGATCGGAAACGATCGGAAGAAACGAGCAACAGGTTTACAACGAAAAAGATTCGCTGCATAGGTTCCAACGTCATTCCGACACCCACGTAAAAAACCTCGACGTTAAATGGGAGCTGATCTAAGCCAATCGAGCCAAATTTAGAAGCTCCAAGTCAGAGAGGAAAAATTCAAGGTCGAGAGGATAAAAAGGCATTCGTAGAACGAGCGTGTATTGAACTCGATGAAACGCAGAAAGCGTATCGAAGAGCGTGTAATTGGTTCGCAGTCAGTATTCAAGGAGGAGGATCGCACTCTTCCGAAACGACGCCGACGAGTAATGGAAAGTGCGAGTCGCGGAAATTACTGGATTCGTCGAAAGAGACGTGGTCCGATCTGATTTTCTTGCCTCGGATGCAGGAAGCGAGAAAAAGGAGCTGAATAAGACTTTGCCCACGGACAGAGATCCAAAGAATCCGGCAACTGGATCGACGGATAGGGCCCCTTCCTTCCCTTATTCTTTGGTCTGTCCTTGCGCCTAGACCCGTCTGCGTCAAGATCAACGTCGGCACAACCACCGCCACCGCCACCGCCACCGCCTCTGGCTCCCCGTTGCGCGTGGTTGTATGCGTGTTCCTGGTAAACAAGTACACGTACGTCCGGAAAGGAAGAAAAAACGAAAGATCGATCCTCTTGGCCATGGTAAGCCGGAGAGCTGGCCGCGTGCAGAATCGACGTACCGCGAGCGCGCGAGCTCGGTCGGTCGTCACCCTGGGTGGGAGATACGAAGGTATAAAACCGATCTTGCCGTGTGCTGGCAGTCAGTCCAAAGGCCAGATGTGCGGCGGCTCTAGTCGCACGCGTGCGAGAGAGGCGATCACGACACGGCGTGCGGTACTACCGCGTACACCGACGCTCACGCGATCACGATATTCAACGACTCTTACGGTTTTCCGGTGCGATCGCCCTAACTGTGAATTCGTCGACGATTTTCGAGGAATCTCGTCCGAACAGGGAGATAACAACGCCGACAGTCGAGAGATACGTTAATCCTGCTCTCAGCTTCCGAAACGGAGAGAAAGGACAACGAACTCTTACCGAAGGATATTCAGCTGTCCGAGATTCCGTCGAGCTAGTCCTCCGGAACAGTCGCGCGCGAATCAACACCGAAGCTGCGGAATCGTTCGAGGGGTGATCCGAGTGGGTTTCTCGTGGAATACGTGTATGTAGCTCAGAATCACCAGCCGTTTACGAGAGTGGTGGTAGCAGAGTACAAAAAAAAAGAAATAGTGAAGCTTTTAGGTGCAAGGTTTCCTCGGAGACCCGACAAATTCAACTTTGATAGTTTCGATAGTCACGAAGTGTATTCGTGGCTCCAAGTGGTTTGGTTGCACGAACAAGCAACAACCCGAATCATGTCGGGAATCGAAATCAATGTGGAAGAGGCTTCCAACGACGGACACGAGGATTTCGTTCGAGACGTAAGTTCCTGAACAAAGATTCCAACTGCTTGCCGTTGCGCCATGCGCCAGTGTACGTACCGTACAGGTATTGCGCGCTGCAAACGTCCAAGTGTCTCGTTTCTCGCGTCTCGGAGATGCGCGGCTGACTCTTGGATAAAAACGCTCGAATCGCGGAACCCCGCAGCGCGTCTTTCTCAGCCACTGTCTGCTTTCTATTCGTCTCGTTCCTTCCGCCATCGAGAAGCCTCGGTTCCGTAGCTCGTCAGATTTAATCGTGATTACAAAACGCTGATGGATTCGCCGGACTTTCACGCCACGGAGAAGCGTCCGTTGCGATCCAGGTGAACGAAATAATTCAACGTGAAAACGAAACGGTAACGGACACGCGCAAATCGTAATGTTTCTCGTTCGACTTTCAATGTTCGCCTCCTAACGATCGGGCGGCAACGCGAATCAATTACATAAAATGTTCATCAAATTCGAGAAAGTCCGGAAATAAAAATGTAACAAATGTTATCCAACAGGAACTAGACATTCCAGGACTAATAAAACGCCAATAATTACGTGATGCGCGAGGTGTATCGGATTTATTTTCGTGTCTACGAACGCGTAAGAAAACGATGAAACTTTGATTGAATTTGTAAGTTGAAATGTAGTCTCGATGATCGCGTTACTCTCGTAAAACAATTTTAATACCATACATTTACGGGCTACGCGACACGTCGCGGTACACGTATACCGTAACACTATTCACCGCGAATAATTAATAAGCCAAATACCTTGTACCGTAATACATGTTCGCTTCTCAGATATTCATCGAAAATATAGGCCGACATTTCTGCGCACATTCTGAGTACATCTCATTATTACACTCAGAGAAAAGGATAGGATAGCCGCCATGGGGCAAAACGCGTAGGCGAAAAATGATATCGATAGATCGGTAGCTCCGGTTAAAAGCTGATAACCTAAACACCTGTAGACCATTTCTCGCATTTACGTTTTATACCTCTTTACGATACAAAGTGCTTTGAAATATCTTGGTTTTTAATCTTCTTTGCTAAACGTGCAAACTCTTGTTATTTTCAGGAAACGGTGCATCGATTGCTACATTGTCACGCATTTAAAGTCCATTTCCGTGTTAGGCGTGTCGCTTGTTTCCACGTTCGATGGAAACGGCCAAAACTGATGACTAACGGATTATGAGACCGATACGAAACGTTAACGGTTAAACCGCCAAACGACGGCGTAGATAATTATGTAATTCACTGTTACGCGGCTGGCGGGTTAATTAAGGAAACATTTCGTTAGGTTACGTAATAGAAAACGATGCGTGTAAACTTTCATTCCGTATTCCAAAGCACCGTGACATTTTTCTAACAAATATGATATTAATCGATGTCAACTGCAACTTTTGAATATACCAACTAGATTCGCCGCGATACGATAACTCGGTATTTACTATTTACCTATACTTTTACCGTACATCTTTATGCAGTAAAAAGCGAAACAATCGCTTATCCTACTTCGTGATACAAGACACATGGAAAGAAAAACGATGCGACAATGTAGTTGCGCGAGTAATTCAATTCGTATACGGACTCTGATGGATCGTCGTCGCGACTCGTTAGACAACAACCAACGCGCTATAAGATGTATCGTTCGACGCGAAAGTGAAGTAAAAACTAAGAAAATTAGACATTTGATAGGAGAAGCGACGAGCAAGACAAATGATACAACTCGAATGTCTGATTCGAGTCGAGACGTAATCCATGCGCGGTGTCGCAATTTCGGCGCGCCCTCTATGCCGGAGTTTGTAAATGCAAATCGATCGGAAACGATCGGGTCGTTTCGAAACGACCTAGGAAAGGTCCGAGTCGCGATCGGTCGTCGACGGATTTCTTTTCGTAGAGAGCTTAAAGTGTAAAGAGGACCGCTGTGAAATGATCCGAGTCGCGATCACCTACCTACACCTATAATACAGCTATGTTTAGACGTTCAAGTTGCACATCGACGACTACTCAGCGATTCTAGTTAATCGCATCGACGATTATTTAAACGGAATGGAGATTACAAAGCAATTGTCTCGACAACTATTCGTAACATTCGAGACGCGCGTACCGTGTCGCGATGATCGCTTTGAAACGGCTTAACGATACCGGATGCGATTATTCTTTAGATCCGCGATGCATCGATCTTTGTAGCTTCCGTGACGACATTGAGCGATAACGAAGGTCCTGTCGATGTTGGCAGTCTATTCCTCATTTCCCCCCGGCGCGCGCCGCGGCGCGGCGGCATCGGCGTCAGCGTCAGCGTCGCCGCCGCCGTTGGCGTCGAGGGCGATTCGCGGACGAAAACACGTGAAAAGCCTAACGTAAATTGGCACTTGTCTAAATGTCCTTCTCGCCTTCCTCTTTCCATGCATCGTCGAGGTCGGTCTGATTGCCAATTAGTAGATACCAGGTCAATTTATGTAGAAGAAAAAAGGCCGTAGAAAAGGTTGCGCGATGAATCGAAATGAGATATGCACCGCGAGTCCTTATCGGTAATCATCCATCATTATCGAGAACGCTTCTGTTCTCGTTGAAGCACTAGCAAAATATCGAGCTACCGTTCGATTCAGCATTTTCTCCGAGGTAAAAATCGATGTATCGATAAATTTAACGTCGATGAAATACGCGCACGGTCGATCTCCTCGATGTTTGTCTCTTATCCGAGCGTCTGTTTCATTGCGAGGCAAGCAAGAGTGATTTTCGCGTACGAGTTCTTGGCAAACACTCGTCTCGACTTGCACGGTTAACAGCCAACCGAGAGAACGAAAGTCCTCGTATTACCCGAAGAGAATCTTTCAGTGTTGCTAAAATAAAGAAACCGCCGGAGAAGAGGAAGAAAGCCGTTTCCTAAATCGTCCCGCGTGTATCGATAGTACCGTCGTGTACAAACTCGTTCCTCTGTGTGTATGTGTGTGTGTGTGTACTCGCGCGCGCGTGTTGGAGAGTTTTCACCGGTCTCTCTTTCAGTCGTAACGTCGTAACGTCGTAACTCGTAACTCACGGAACGAATGCGTTTATCTGGCGACGGTGTTGGACGAGCAGGAACGAAGAGCTCTTGAAATTGAAACGCTCCGGCGTGTAGCTGAACCGCGGTCAAACTTCCGCGAGTCGTGAATAGGCGAAACGCGCACTGTTACACGGTATAAGCGTATTGGTAAATTTGTCCAAGGTTTTGAAAAAACCTTTTGTAAAAGATTTGATATGGATCGCTATAGATTTCGAGAGACCAATGATTCTTCTTGTAATCCTCTAATAGTTTCATAATGGATATCGTAAACGTAAACGTAAACGTAAACGTGTCGGTAATCCGTGTCCTATTCAGTCCAGTCCATTGAGTTTTGCAGACCCAAAGCAGTTTCAGAGACTTACGGTGAGAACGTAATCGAGCGACTTGTAGCTTTTTCGTTCGACTCTCCCTGCCGACGGTAAACACTTTACCGTGCAATCGGCGATGTAATGAGCCCAGCGCGTTGCAAAATATGTAGACAATCACGGCAAAGAGGTCTTAGATTTATGTTTTCCGTGAGGCAACGTTTACCGTGGCGAGATCGGAGCGAAAACGGGACAACGAAGACGCCGCCAACTAAGAACGAAAGCGTGACGAAACCCCCGTGCTTTATTAAAATTATTGCCTCTCCGCGATCTTTTAATAGAGGAAAATAATGGGCTGTCGGATTCTTCGAGTCATTTTCAATAATACGTCGCGAGTCTTTTCTTTTTCTTTTTCTTTTTATTTCTCTACAAGAGAGAATTACGATATCGTGGCCAGCTCTACATAGATAGGTCTACATAGATAGGTCTACATCTCCAGTCGATTGATTTTCCTATTTTTCAAGTTGTACTCTGTACTCTGTAATTCGCGCAAGCCATAGCGATCCGCTTCAAGATGTACAAGGTTAAACCACGGCATCTGTTATCGTTACCTTGTAACATATATCTTTTTATGATGATATGTTCAGTCAGCAGCGACAAGTTACTCGTTAGACGAGTGCTAATCTATATCGCCTCGAGTAGGTAACTAACATACATGTATCGTTAATGAGAAAGCGTAGTTGAACGTGTCTGCTGATCCGCGAATTTTCGATCCAACTATTGGCTTCCTCGATGGGACATTTTCCAAACACTAAAGAATAAGAGTGGGCGCAGACACGAGAAACAAGCGTGAGCGAAAGAAATTAAGAGTTTCAGGGTGTCGCGTTACGTGGGACCAGCACAGGTGCGGCGACGCTTCGAGGTTGACCAGTGTATCGAATTCCACAAAAATTCTTAACGACGCCTCTCTTTGAGCGTTCCTCTGGCCATTCTCCTCCTCTCGGTCTCGCACGAGCTTGGATTGCTCTCTCACTCTCTCAATGGTTTGCTGTGCCTTCTAGATCGGCAAAAAATTTCGAGATATACCGGCTTGGTAACGAATGCTTGTCACCCGCGACACCGCGCACTGGCCAAGTATCGAGATTCGATTATGAAACTTGGATTCGTCGCCACCTCCGTTCTCTTCCATTGTCTAGGATCTATTGCAGCATACACGGGTTGCGAGTACCAATCTTCCTAGTATTAATCCTTCGAAGCAATTGATAACCAACCGTATTTCCATTCGCGATTTTATTGTGTGAAATCTAGTTGCATCGTCGACAAGATTCGATCTCTTGGTACGATCTTTCAATTTATTTTTTTACAAAAGTGGAATTGTTCGCGTAACGCGTAGTTTCGGAAGATCTCTAGATCGTCGATCGAGAAAAATCCATCGCAAGGCTGCTTCCACGTTACTTTCCGAATCGACCACGCCCGACAGGACACATAAATCCGTGATGGCGGTCTCGGCCAGCATTCCATTAGAGCAGTTACCTTCGATCTGGAGCATATAGCACCGCTGAAAAATCGACCACGGGCACGAAAGAAAAAAATAAAAGCAGCGATCTCGGACCTTGAGCGGCGGCCAACGACCAAGGTAGGCTACCGCCACGGTGGGAAACGTGACCGATTTACGTGCGAAAATGGCCAATTAACAGGCGTAATCGATGTATAGGTATCAACTTGGGGACATCCACAGTGTCAAAGTCGCGGAAATACTCGTGGTTCGACGTTGGCTCTGAACATGTTCGCGATCGTGCTACACGAACAGAGGAAACGACAACGACGATGAAGCGAAACGGAAAAAATAGCGTAGAACGTTACCACGGGACGAGCAAAATTCGAGAGTACCACCGTTGTGCAACGATGAAACCGGAATGCCGACAGTTGGGATCCCATGGCCCCGAGTGGACGCCGAAATTCTTCCGTCGAGGAAAGCTGGGAGCAATCTCGAGAACTCGTTCCTCTCTACGATAAATATGTTTTTGTTCGATTGCAACGGCCGATGATCGACTCTACAAAACAGAGGATAGAATTCAACGATTCAGACGAGACATCGGACGACGCGATGCCTGGTTATTCGATGCATCGTTCCTGCTGGTCTTTCGACGTTGCGTCGGTGCGTCAAGAACGCGATAATAAGACTACCCGCAGATGTCGTAACAGCGTTAGAACAATAAGATGTTTCGACACTATGACGAAAACGCCGCGACTGGTATGCAAAGTTTGTTTATCGTGCTCCCGTGTAAAAACAGAGCAACGAATGCGATGCGATCCAGTTATCACGAGGAATTTCCAACGTTGACCTCGGCTAGTCGGTTAATTGATATCAATGTCGAGTCGCGTGATACGCCAGGAAATTACCGATCGAACCAAGAGAGAGGTGTTTGGTTTCGTTTAAAACACAGATCGTTTTAAACGTCCATTTAATGTGCTTATTGGTCAATTTAACCGCGCTCGTGCTCGTCGAAGAGATAAAACAAAGACATCGTAACTGCGTGTAGAGTATGTTGTTCGGCGATAGATAAACGACACGCGGTTGCAGGTGGAGGATATGCGGGCGAGACAGAGGTGTTATCGCGATGCTACATTATCGCTTATGCAATCAAAGCATCACGATTCGATTTACGTTGCTTTCAGATCGAGGAGACGTCGACGCCGACGCCGACACCGACGTCAACCGTGGATACGACGGCGGTATCGGGTAGCCCGCTTTCCTGGCACATCCCAAGGCCGTCCTTGGTCGGACGGAGCGAGAGAGACAGCGAAAATGATAGCTGGGCTCGTCATCTGCACCCGAACTCTCCTTCGCGAGGATCCACGTCGTCGCAAGGCTCCACCGCCAGTACACACGTAAGCAACTCGCGTGAAATGTACGATTATCGTAATCGATGAAACAACCATCACATCGAAAAAATCAAAAGCCGTTTTACCGAACCGCGACCGCGACCGCAATTGTATGTTGCAGAGTGCCGCGTCGGGCACGTTGTTATTAACAGCCGCGAATCTCGCCAATCTCGCGGCTATTCATCCGCCCACGGTAACGACACCGAAACAAATGGACACCGCCTCGGTGGCGAGTAGCACCCACTTCACCGTTGTCAACGGTCTAGGCAGACCCACAACCGTCTACAGGAAGTCCTGTTGCGCGAGGAATCAGCTCACCGTGCTCGTCTGTACGATGAGCTTCCTATTCATGGTCGGCCTGCTTCTCGGGATCCTTTACATGGAAAGTGAGTATCGATAGTTTTGCCGCACGCGATCCAACGCGTCCTACTGCGATCGCCGCAGGATTCGAGCCTATTTCGTGTCTATTTTCTCTAACACTCGAATCGAACGATACGAAATGCGAAGCGCTGCGTTTACGAACGTGTTCCCCGTTCTAGCTTCCGCCTTGTTTACTTCTGATTTCAGTGAGAATTCGTGACAAGTATCATTAAGGCTGAAGAAAAGAAAATCGGTGTTAGCAGTCGGATAACCGTGGACGATTAAATCGCCCCTAAACGTTTACAGCCCGTTGATGAACGCGAGACAGAAGATCTACGATCGTACGAACAACCAAGCGAGACCGAAGCGATCAAACGGAAAACTTCCGACTGTATATTTTCAAACATTTTTATAGCATTAAACAAACTCAAAGATCGGACGTTCTCGAATAGAGATAAGATAAAGATTCAAAGGCTGTATCGCACCGTGTTCGATGTGTGGTACGAGAAAACTGGGTAATTACATTTATGTAACAAAGTTAGTTTTAGTAAACGCGGAACGACATAGAGCTCGACGCTCACTCGGGTATTCCACGCGAGGACCGTCGAATCCTCCAATTTCAACGAGTATCGTAACATTTTTCGTTCCGTTCCGTTCCGTTCTGTTTTTCTTTTCCTTTCTTATAAAGCGAGACGACGCAGACCGATACGATCGCTAATATCTTTCTTCCATTCGTGGCGATTGCTCGAGTTCTCGACCGATCACGGAATCGAGAGTGTCTAGTGGATGGCATCGTCAACCGATAAAAAGGACCAACGATACGATTATTACGATACATTTATATTTGAAAATAGCGACATTGTCGTACAACGAAATTTCGAAAGTAACGCTAATACTTGTTCAACCAATGTTGAAGGGCAATTGGAAACAATCGACGAAACAGGAGTAAACTAAGCGGATATTACTTTAGGGTTCGTTATTTAATTGTTACTAACAAAACGCCTGAATCAAACCTAGATACCTTCGTGGTGTCGTTTCAGGATATAGACGGAAAAGCAATGAAGAGCGATCGTGTAAATCGCTTTTCGCAACTGTGATATTACTTGCGTATTAAATAATCGTCGATTCAACAAGAAACTGTCAGACTATGAACTAAACGATACGGTTGTTTTATTTTACCTATCCCCTGTCCCCTCTCGAGATGTACAAATTCGGAAGAACGTTTCTGTTAAACAATTTACAGACATATTTACGAAACAAGCTTTCAACGAATATCTTATAGGACTGTTATTCAGGCAGTAGCCACCTTAATATTGTAATTATTTTAAACAATCCGAGGAAGAATTAGTTGGAGAAGTAGTACGACTTGAAGCGTAAGAGTTCATCGTCGAAGGCGATCAATTCTAAGTTATGTTTATCGGACGTATCGATTGCCAAATTTTTCATAAATTTATATCGTTCCTATTTTTCAAGTATAACATTATTTTACCACAAAATTCAAACTATTTTTTAATTTTATGTTAGCGTAAGAGAATGTATAAATCTATTTCCATTACCTTAAAATCAAGGAATCCGGCATCTGATTTTGTTATCTGTATCATTGGTACTCACCTCCAAATCCTGAAGCGTCTGTGTCCATCTATAGTTGGGTAAATCTGCACCGTTTCCACTGTTAGGCCTGAGTTTGTTTTTTTCCTTTTCGTCTTCTTCCTCCTCTTCTATGTTATCTTCCTTTCCGATGCTATCTGCATTATCGCCACTAGGCCCAGGTACGGCAGGCGGTTCTTTCGCTGCTTTCTTTTATACAGAAACATGAGATACATACGAGTGAAATATTATACGAATCGACCAACTAAATAAATACGTTATATACTTACTTTATTATCTATTTCCTCTTGTAATTTAGCAGCCTGTTCGTCTGTCAGTTCGACAATTTTCGACTCGGAATTCATTTTCTCCTCCTCCGCCTTCTTCTCTCTTTTCATCTTTTCGAGCTTCTCTTTACGACGCCTCTCTTGTTTTGCGCGCTCTGCTTTTTCAGTGGCAGCGAAAGCAGTAGCTTGGTGTTTTTTAAATTTACTAGTGACAAGCTAAAATGCAATGGATATGCGATAACTTTAATTATAATGTTTGCGCATTATAAAAAACCATCGACAAAGCACCGTTGGTTACGACAAAGTAAAGAAAAGAAAATTACTTTTTCCGCAGCTCCCTCGCCTCCTCCCGTATAGAAATCCGTTTTCCTCGCGAGAAAACTAAAGACAGTGTCGAGAAGCTGAAAAGATACGACAATTTCTAAGTACTCTAATTTACATAGAAAGAAAGGAAACCGTTCTCGCGCAGGTGAAACATAACCTAAACCATCAACGAAATACCGCTCACTTCTTGTACACCGCCTTCGTGTTGCTGACCCATAGCCAGCAGCATTCCGTCGAATTTCTCCTCGTTTTTCGACATCCTGCTCAAAACTACACGTAAAACTAATTACCGTATCACGAATACCACGTTAAATGTTTCACGATGACGTTAAGAAGCGACACACTCTTGGTTACCGTACCACGTTTTTTCGCGAAATGTCTTTGATTATCGACTCGGACAAATGCTCGCTTTGCTCCGCTAGATGGCAATTGGATGGCTGTATTCGATCGAACATTACTTAAGCTCAATTTAATAATGATTTTAAGTTCTACGATGCTTTTATTATAGTTAAACAGTCATTATTTATTGTATTAAAGATGTTTTTGCGAAGTTTAAATATTATTAAAAAGTACGTAGTGGTGACGTCATTGGTGGCGAAACGCCCAAGTTTGTCGAGAAATAGTTCCACTTTTTCACCGCTAGAGAGCGACACAAAGATCGAAATACCAACATAACAGTATATTTAGATAAATTGTTTTATTAAATTAAATAATAACAATTTAACTATACTACTAGCATAACAGAGCTTTCAAGCACATTAAAATTAAACTAGGATAAGGTTTTTTAACTTTTCATTTTTTCTTCAAGTAGTGGCGCTCTCTAGTGGTGAAAAACTGGAACTATCTCTCGACAAACTTGGGCGTTTCGCCACTAGAACTAAAATGAATATTAAATTAAATATTTTTAAAAATTATTGAATGGTGTAATAAATACATAAAGTGCCTAAATTGTTTGTAGAAAGTCAATAAACAATCGAATAAATGTGGCCAGTCTGGGACAACTACTCTAAAAACACTTTTAAGAGAGATATATTTAGGAAATGTTCATAAAGAAACCATGCTATGAATTGTTTTCAATCTTACAGTATGTCATCGCTATTACGAAATTTCATTTTGTCGGTCTCATTTGATTCTGCTAGCTGCCTTTCTTATTTAATATTTTTTATGAAATAACATAATGAGAATATGTTTCGAGTCGTAATCATTGTTACCTATCGACTTGTTTTACTTCAAATGAAATGAAATCTTGAGATACGAACGTGGAAATTAAATATAAAGTTCGAATCGTATTAAAGATGTCGCATATACTTTTCCTAATGGACCATCGAAAAAGAGAAGAAACATGTTGGAAAGTTGATTCGGTTAGGGGAGGCATCCAACTGGTAAAAGTAAGATTGAAAATGTTCACCGAAAGCGAGCAGTTCCGATAATGAAATTGCGATAAGGTAAGATCTAGCCGTGCGAGTAGTCGCGATAAGTTTGCGGTCAGACCGTGCTCGAAAGATTCTTTCCGAAATTGTAGACTCGGCAGAGTCGAGTAATCCTCGGAGCGAGCACAAGGTAACCATGGGAGGCCGATACCGAAATTAACGGCAATGGATTGAAGCGATGCATCCGAACCCGGAGCGGCTCGAGGCTAGGATCCAATTTGTCTGTTAATCGAGAGACCATCGAGGCGAGATTCGACGGTGCAGCCGCGAATAGTTTGAACCGAACAACCGGAACATGGAACAACGTCACAGTCTCGTCTCGTCACGCTTCGCGTTTTTGGAAATGTCTCCTTTGATGTTATCAGTATAAGACGTTTTTCCAAGAGAATGGTAAAGAGTGCAGCCTTTCGATTAGTTTTCCTAAATGTTAAACATAAAGTTTAGCAATGCCTTAATCGATTTGGACAGATTTTAGTGAATTTGGTCTCACGTTGCAAACTTTATCGTCGCTTTAATCGGATCATTTTATACTCGTATTCTTATTTGTTCGGATAAAAAGAAGGATGGGTCTAGGAAGACGACGGCGACGCGTCGCGTCGTCGAGATTTGGTCATGCCGTATTTACATAACGTAGGAAAGCGTCGTAACTCGACAGCGCCGGAAATGACGTTCACCCCATAGTCTGCAGGTGATTTCCATGTAGAGGCGCGTGGCCGATGTAGCTCGGAGAAATCACTTCCGACTCGCTGGCCTGGAAATTCGAGCGAATCCTCGATCCGGTGTCCATCGTTTGCTAATGCGAAACGCGGATCGTTGGGAGTATCGGCATTTCTGGATCGACGTCGTTCTCGAGCGATTGGATTAGCGAAGAGACGGCACGTAATCAACGAATCCCATAAAATAATCGACGAAAATAGATTTACGTACGCGATTAGCTGTAAAAAGTTTCGAATCACGGACGGAAGTCTGGACATTTTAACGAGATCGAACTTGATGTTTCTAAAGGAACGGTCTTTGAAAATTGTCTTAACAGTATTCAACTGAAATTGCAATAAATGCGGTTTTTTCTGCGCTTCATCTTTCATTCGTTTCCACGGAACGTTTAAAAGAAATATTCATCGTAAATTTCGAGGCTATAGGTAGTCTAGTCGTTTGCGAATGCGCTAGGATAAAGGAATGAAAATCGAACGAACGTTCGCGGATGCACGCTATTTTCACGTCGAAATTTCAATTCCGTTCTGTCCGTTCACGTACACGGTATTTACTTTGTTGTCACGGGCCAGGATATTGCGTGCTGGCTGCGCTCGGGAATAATACCGGATACTTGAGATGGTGATGTACGAGGTAGGAGGTACGAGCGCGCGTTACGAGATAGTTAGATGGGCCAGTCCAGAGTTCTACGTTACTTCGGTCAACGTAGTTCCTTGTGTTATGTATTTGCGTGCAAAGTAGCTTTGCGAACAGTTCGAATTCACCCGAAGACACTCTCCTGCCGAATATTGTCAAATTTCATTTCGAAGTTTTCAAACGAAAAATGTAAACTTTTAATTTTTAAAAAAAAAATTTAATTGGATAAGAAAGGTTGCATCGAAACGTCGAAACGTCGCTATAGTCGTGAAAACTCGAGAGGTACGAGAACCATCGATTTCGTGTCATTCGCGAATTCGATAATGTCTCTCTTGAATATTTTCTCGGAATAAAATTCATTAACGAGCCGTTATTATCCCGACGACGTGTCATCGACAGTCATCGAGTACGCGTTTTGAAAACGCGCGAATCGAACGGTGCAAGCCTGTTAACGAATAACAGGTTTCCCAAAGATTTTTACTTTCGAGTGTCCTGTTTTGCGTAGCTGATCGAGGGTGCTCGAAACAAGGATGGAAAAAGAGTTTAATGATCTGCGAAAGCGTGCACGAGAATGCGCTAAATTTAGAGAGTTTCAATTGTAATGCCGCGTCGACGCGTGACCCCGGCTTTTATTATATAAATCGACCCTGTCCCGAACCATCGGTATCGGCGCAAATTAATCGACAATGTTTACAAAAAGATTTATCGAGACCGAACAAATTTATTCGATTACAATTCCTATCCAAATCTGATTGCCGACAAAAGCAGCGTCAACGGTTCCGTCGACTCGTATCGTTGATATCGCGCATCGTTGCCAAAAACTGATAGAAAATAATCAATTTCAACAGGAACCGATTAATCGTGGTTGCATCCTTTCAAATTAGCCCACTTCTACTCGGTAGAATTCGGTGATTCGGTCTATTCGACGTCAACTTTAACGTTGGCATCGGCGTCGTGTCACGTGAACGCGACGTGAAAAAGTAGCGAGTTTGCCGTAACCTTGTACCGAAGCATGCCGATAAATACTTTAATTAATCGCAATTTGAATCTTTTATCAATTTATCTTTGTACAACTCCCCTCCGGCGAACAGAATTCTTCGAGGGTATTTAACGTCCCGTAGTTACTCGCGTAATTACTCTTCGTTACGTCCGGCGAAAAAAAGGAAGGAAAACCGAGACGCGTACCAGTCATGTTTTGCCAGCCCTTTGAGACGCGAATATTTATGCGCCGTTGCTCTCACCGACGAACGCGAATCGCTATATCTGCTATCGAAATCATTTCTCGATTTCTGTACGAGAGCTGCAGCATTATTACCAAGGTTTATCTTAATTTTGAAACTCGACCGATACGAGGCTAATTAAACGTTGGCAACATTTGTTGGTGGTCTAAACGGTAAAGAAGATGATCCGATTAACAGAAAATTCGTTAGATACTAATAATCGGAGAAGCTTGGTATTATCGTTGCGTACTCGCACGCCAGAGTAAAGGGAGGAACGGTTCGAGCCGAGAAACTGTAGCGTCGACATTGACGCCGACGCCGACGCCGACGCCGAGGTATCTTCGTCGACGACGAGCCGCTAATTTCCTCGCGGAATCGTCACACTCGGCTTGTCACCGCGTCCGGGAAGCAATTCCGTAGATTCTTGCCTCTTAGGAATTCTCCCTTTGATCGTCGCTCGCGAACATCACTCTAACAAGAAGCGACGCATAACTCGCCGTTCCGTATCCACGGATCCTCCCGTTATAGCTCTCGGCCGGTCCTTTGAAACACCTTCCCCCGTTACAGACGTAAACGACATTTATCAAAAGCTCGAGAAGGACCATCCGAGCTCGATTGGCATTCGCGACATTCGCGACACCGTGGATCGCCTCGTGGCAGTCGTGGCGTGCATCGCGACCTTAACGTCGACGTTATAACGATCGAATGCGGTTGTCAGAAATCGAGCTAGGTCATTTGTGCGATCTGGGAACAACGGAGTCTTGCAACTTTGCGTTCCTTTGGAAATATTAAACCGTTAACTGCGGACAACATTTTCGAACGATTTCTCAAACGACACTGACGAACCGATTCACGCAAACACAAACAGCATGCCTCGTCGCGTTACGTCGGTGTCGGTCACAACACCAACTCGAACGTATGACGTATACACCATTTTCTTTTCTTAGATCCTCGTAAACAGTTTTACTAGGCATTCGCGTGTTATCGGGAGCTCCGTTCGGCGTTGATAATGTGGCGAAGCTGGCAACGAGGACGACATTACCGTCGCAACCCCAGATCGGACAGGACCAAGGCTATCAATCAGCGGTACACGAAAGGGGCGCGGTCGGCCACGTCTGTCGTCGAATCTCGCTTTGTCTGTCCGCGACAGATAGACAGAACCGACGACGACGCCGACGCATAGTTCCGACGTATCTCGATCCGCTGACGCGTCTGCCACTGGAAATGCCACCGCCATCGCCACCTCCGCGGTCGACGCGTTACTTTGTTCCATAAACTTCCCTTGGACGTGACGGCGACCCTCGATTCCGTCGGTAGTTGAGACCTATAGCGTTCGTTTCAGCCAGCGTACCGTCAAATTATTTCTGCTTCCGATTCAACGTAAGAATAATATC